AGCCATTAAAAACTACAGTGCCCTTCATTCCCTCATGAAAGGACCTGATGATGTTAAGGAGTCGAGGCAGACATCCAATCTTGGGAATGATTTTAAAAAGGCCATCCCTGCTAACCAAATCAAAGGCCTTTGTAAGATCTATAAACACCACGAAGAGTGGCTGTTGTTGGTCCCTGCATTTCTCCTGCAACTGTCTGAGGAAGAATACCATGTAAGTGGTGGATCTATTAGCTCAAAATCCACACTGTTATTCTGGATAGACTCTGTCTGCAAGCACCTGGAGCCTCTTCAGCACAACATGGGCAAGCAGCTTCCCTACAACGCTGAGAAGAGAGATGCAACGTTAGTTATTGCAGTCACCCCTGTCTCCTTTGTTCTTGTACAATGTGACAATGTTTGCATCCTTCATGTCCTGTGGCACTCCGCCTTCCCTCCAGCAAAGACAAAAGGCTTCATACAGTTCGGTGGTGATCTCTTTATAGCGCTTCAGCACTTCAACAGGTGCCTTGCCGGAGGCGAGGGAATCCAAGGCTGCTTTTATTTCTGCTAAGGTTGGTTCGCTGTCCAACTCTTCCAAGACAGGCAGGCACTCAATGTTATTTAATTCTTCTTCGGTTACTACATTATCTCTGGAATATCCCTTGAGATGTTCTTGCCTGGTCAGAGAACGCTTCTAATGGAGTTATCCGTAATGGTATCTCTTTATAATGTTGTACCTTAACTGTTTTCGAGACCCGTAATAAAGCTCTCTTGATCAGATGTAAATTAAATGTTTTGCATTGCTTATCACATGGTACTATAGGCATGCCAACCTAGTCTTAAATCATGCCCCTCAATTTTTAAAAGTCTCCGATTTTGGAGAGTAACCCATTCTCTCACCCAGGACAGAGCTGCTGCTCTGTAATAATTCATCCAGTCTGGTAGGCCAAAACCTTCTCTTTGCTTATTGTCCTGAAAAGCTTTTCCCTCCAGCCAACTCTTGAATTTTTTCTTACTTTTCCTTTTTATCTTTACTGCTGTTCTTGTTTGATTATTATGTATTTGTCTATGTTTTATTATTTGATTTTATATTTGGAAGCCGCCTAGAGTGGTCCGGTGGGCCAGATAGGCGGGGTATAAATTAAATAAATAAATAAATAAATAAATAAAATAAGTTTTATTCTTGTTTTTTCCCCATGCCAAACAAACTTGGTCATTATCTTATTCAGTTCTTTAAAAAAATCTTGTTTTAATAATATTGGGATTTTCTGAAAGAGGAAATCTAATTTTGGTAGTTGTATATTCATTTTTATTGCAGCTATTCTACCCACTAGGGATAATTGGAGTTTAGTCCATTTTTGCAAATCTACTTTGACTTCTTTCATTACTTCCATATAATTGTCCTTCATTAATGTACTTGGGTTTTTTTGTCATATTAATTCCTAAGTACAGTGGTGCCTCGCTTAATGGGCGCCCCATTTAACTACGAATCTGCATACTGATGAAGATTTTGTGATCATTTTTGCGATCGCATTGCGATGTTCTCTACAGGGGCAGGTGTTCCCGGCCCTCCTCCAGCAGCGGTGGCGGCGACGGGGGTGAAGGGGTGGCTGGGGGAGAGCTGGGAATCAGGGCAAAGCCTGGGTGTTCTGGTGGCCCTCCTCCCAGCGGTGGCGGCGGAGACGGGGGTGATGGGTGTGTCTCCACAGGGGTGGGTGGGAGGTCTGCCTTTGCGGCCCAGTGGCGGTGGCGACTGGGGTGGGGGAGAGCTGGGAGGAAGAGCAAGCCCCGGCTGCTCTCCTCCCGGCATCGGCGGCGGCGATGGGGGTGGGGGGGAGAGCAGGCTCATGATAGGAGACACAGTCCTTGAGACCCAAGCCCTTTAGGATTGTGTAGTTTAGAATCAGCACTTTAATTGTGCCTGGAGACAGACTGGCAGTCAGTGGGTTTACAGTATCTGACCCTAGGATCCACTTCAGTGAGCAATCTGTCTGCTGCATTTTAGACCCACTGAAGTTTCCAAACACTTTCATGGCCATATCAGACCTCTTCAGGAATAGGCACAGCTGGCACACTAGTTTTAATTGTGCAAATGCACTCCTGGCCACTGCTGAGACCTGGGCATCCAGGCTAAGAGAAGAATCCAGGAGCACCTCCAAGTTCCACCCCTGTGTTTTCTGAAGGAGTGCAGCTCTGTCCAGCACAAGCTGCATCCCTATTCCTTGATCTGCCTTTCAACTGACCAGGAACCCTTCTGTCTTCTCTGGATTAAGTTTCAGTTTATTCACCCTCATCCAGTCCTTTACTGACACCAGACACCGATCTAGAGTTGAAACAGCTTCCTTGGATTTAGATGGAAAGGAGAGATAGAGTTGGATGTCATCCACATACTGGCGACACTGAATCCCAAAACTCCAGATAGCGTCTCCTAGAGGTTTCGTGTAAATATTAAATAATGTGGGGGACAAAACAGAACCCCAAGGGACCTATAATGAAGAAAAAATTAACAAGACTATTTTAACTGCCCATCCACTCAACATATGTAAGTGTATGATAAACACCAAGCGCACGTCTATCTATAAATTAGATTTTTTTTCTCTAAAATCACTGAAGGGCATTATGCTTCCTATATTCAGGCAAGCAATTTGGAAAGTATACCTTTGCATTGAAGAACTTCCAGAAACAGCTACACACCTGTGGCAGACTCTCAATTGACACTGATCTATGCAAGCAATAGAATGAAATGGACCACTTTAGACTTGAGGTGAGGGAATGGAATTTTGAACTGGCCAGCATACAGGGAGAAAAGGATAGATGAAAATGGACCACCACCATCAGGTTCTTCTGATTAGCCCTTAGCTAGATTTTCTGTTTTTCTATTTGTGCAGAATGCAAAATGGGAGAGAATTAAAATTATTGTATACTGTTTCACCATTATCTGAAATAAAGAGAGCTACTGAACAAAAATGGAAGGTAAAGTACAAGATTTATGGTATGATAATCCCCAGTTCAATCTCTGAGATCTTCATTTCAAAAATACAAGACAGTGGTTCCCAACCTTGGGTAGCCCAAGTGTTCTTGGGCTGCACTTCCCAGAAACCCCATCCAGCACAGCTGGCAGTGAAGGCTTCTGGGAACCACAGTCCAAGAAAACCTGGGGCACCCAAGTTTGGGAACCACGGCTATAAGGGGATCGAAAAAAACTATTCTGCTTAAGATCCTACAGTAGTGTTTCCCAAGCTTTTTTGAGTCGCAGCCCCTTTTATAATAGTCAAGTAATTTATGACACCCCCTACCACATCTGCATCTGCACGACAAGACATTAAAATAGATTTTTTCAGAATATAATTCTACCCTAATATATTAAGATTAAGATTACATAATTATTGGGGCTGTAAAACTACCTCTACCAGATAAAAACTGAAAGGTAAAAATATCAATACACTATGACCTTAACTTACTTTTTTGGGTATGGAAATTACTCTCTCTTCATGTCTCTTTCCTCCAACAAAGCCCTCTCAGTGAAGAGCCCCTTCCCCCCTCAAGCCCAGATAAGCACCTCCCCATGGCCCCCTGTGCCCCCTACCTTGTTCTCCTCCCTTATATCTTTGCCCCTCTTGCTTTCTTCCTCCCATGACTCAGGTGGGACCCAGAGGCATTTCCCTGCCCAGGTCCCCCCTCTCTTTGCTGCACCACCACTGTCACACCCGGAAGAGCAGGACACTCAAGTGGAGCAAAAGGCACTGCTGCCTTCATGACATGCAACTTTTCAATCCTGCTGCCATCTTGGGTGTCAACATTCCCAGCATGAACCGCATGCTTGCTTCAATCAGGCCTCTTTGCACCACACTAATATACTGGCCCAAAAGGCTGATGTCTATCCTTCAAAGGTGTATAGAATCAGAGAGAAGCAAGCAAGAGCAGCTCTTCTGGAGTGGATAGGAGTGATGCGTATGCATAAAAGGAAAATCTATCCAAAAGGGTACGAAAATAGCTAAGAACTCTAGGTTGCTTGAAATTCTGGTTTAAATTAAAATTATTAATCTATGGGCCAAGAGGGTTAAAATACAACAGCATTATGTATAGCATATTTAGTTCAATAAATAAATAAATAAATCTAAAAATAATTGAAACTAAAAATAGCCACGGCAATCCCCCAGAAAACACTTTGCGACTGTCTTGGGAGTCCCAAAGCCTAGGTTAGGAAGCCATGTCCTACAGAATCACTGCCAATCAGTATACTGACAGAACTAGGATAGATAGAAAGAATCTGGCTTAGTACAAATCACATCCCTCAGTATTTACAATACAAAATAAAAACAGCCACAAAACAATACAACCATAATGCTTTCACCTCATTCTGCTTCACAGATGAAACACCTGTTCCTTTCAGGCAACAAGCCTCCCCCAGAACATATGCAGGTTGGTCTTTCAAATGTTTATTCTCTCTCTCTCTCTCTCTCTCTATCTATCTATCTATCTATCTATCTATCTATCTATCTATCTATCTGTCTGTCTGTCTGTCTCTATCTCTCTATCTATCTATTTGCAGGCTTAATTTTGCCTCATCACAGTGGCAAAACATTCAGCATGGCTGAAGCACCATAAAAGCCACTCACCTGGGCAGTTCTGCTGGCTGATTTTCTATGGGAGCAGGAACTGCCACTGGTAGTTCTGCTGCTGCACTGGTGGCTTGTGCTTGCGCTTCTGTTTTCTCCTCTACTGCCACAGGCTCCTGTGATTCTCCTCTACTGCCAGCAGAATCGTGCTCTACTACAGAGTTGACCTCAACCTCTTCAGCGACAACAGGCACAGACATTCTCTCTCCTGCAGCTGCAACATCCTCCTCTCTTTTCTTCATTTTTTCCTCATGTTCTTGCTGTCTTCTCTCATCATCTTGGCGGGCCAGATATTCAAAGTTTTTGAAGGCCTGAAAGAAATATAACATGCAAGCATCAACCCAATCATTATCCAATATAAAATCACGGGAGGTCTCACAAATGATTCAGTTATTTCAGGGAGAGGATACTATTACTTCCCTTGTACCAGACTACTTCACAAAGGACCATTACAGCCAAGACTGCTTACAGTATTAACAAAACACACACAGAACCTTTAAATTAGCATCATCCCAGAGAACAAATATTTAAGAAGGAAAACTAGATTGTGTCTTTTTTTCTTTCTCCAATAAACTAAACAGAAGTGCTTAGTGAGATGCCACAAATTTCCAGGATCATAGAGTAATGGAGTTGGATGGGGCCTATAAGGCCATCGAGCCCAACCAATTGCTCAATGCAAGAATCCAAATCAAAGTTTAAGACTGTGGTTGTTCTGGGTTTTTCGGGCTCTTTGGCCGTGTTCTGAAGGTTGTTCTTCCTGACGTTTCGCAAGTCTCTGTGGCCGGCAACTTCAGAGGACAGCAACCTGTACTCTGGTGTAGTTGGCTTGGGAGTGCAGCATTTATGGCTGTGAGATAGGCTTTTGTCTTTTCCTGTAGATGGGTGATTAGTGTGTATTGTTGTGGGTGTATTGTTGTGCTAAGGGGAAGAGATTATCTGTTCCTGTGGTTGATGGGTGTCATTAGCTGGTCTTTTGTGTGTAGTGATCCCCTGTCCTT